TTGAGACCTCCCACTGCAACAGTGGTTTTAGCCGTTTTCTCTGGTTTGAATCTTCAATCATTTGTTGGCAATTTTTGATTAAAAAAATCTGCGGATTAGAGATCGAAGTCATGCCATCATTAATTTGCCTTTGATTCTCTTTCCTGTCAAAAAACACAAAAGGACTCTAGACTCATCCTTATCTTTTAGGGATCTCGAGTGCCTAATCTTTCAGTAGCCTGGGCATTAGTCGAAGGCCGCAACGAATTTAAAACGCTGAAACTTTTTCCGGCCTTAGTCATATCTTTGATGCAGGTGCGCAGCAGTCTTGTTCAGCGGTTAAGTAGGATTTTCCATGCGCAAATCGTGTGATTGCTCGATCGGCTCGAGCCTTTGATTTAGGCAATTTCGGGATGAAGTTCTTGCAGACCAGGCGGGAAAAAAATATCAGGTCGTGATAAGTGACACATATATTTTTGACACTGCAATTGAATTCAAATTCAATAATCTCTTGGTCGCGAGTAATCTTTCAGTATTATCGAGGCAAACCAGATTGTTCTGGTTGTCACATTTCAGCAGTTATCTCCCCCTGAAGTAGACAACAAAAAATTAAAAAAAAAAATTAATTGTTTAAAATCCACTTGAGGTGTTTGTGCTATGAAAATCATGATTGCCATAAGCCCGGCTTTGATTAGGTAACCCACTTACGTTATAACATGATCCTGAGTAAATATTTCATAAAATACGAATACTGAATATCTTTGTTATTTCCTTTTTCCTTAATTTTTATTAAACTCTTTATCCCCTAACATCGGTATGCAAGCTCTCCATACTGTTCTCTATACATTTTCTATGGTTCTTACGAGGAGAATTTGTCTAAATATCAAGAGAATCTTGAGTTTGCGATCATTTCTTTAATTCTCCTTACCGTACTGTTTGATTCAGGGGTAATGCTGCTAGAGGAAATTAGATGTCAGTGTGTTAGGATCAGTAAACACCATAACTCCAAATTCCAATTCCACCTGGAATCAGCAGAAATCTCTTATTTTCGACTCTTATCTCCAAGATACAGTTCTACTTCAAGTGCTTTATGATAATCTAAAGTCAACTATGTTGACTTGGTCTGACGAAGATTCTGAAGAAACATAACTCTGTTCCGTCGGAGCATTCATCAAAACCAGTCTGTCATCAAAGCACTATTCATAGGCAGTTTAGCACGCGTCGGACACTTTGTAGCCATCTGTTGACGACATTGGGTAACGACACGTAATAGTAAAAAAAATTTCAGTTAAGAGCGTGGGAAAAAAGTCTGTTGTAACGCTAAGCTCGAGCAGAAGAAAGAAAGAGAAATAATTTTATCATCGGCTTATTATCGCTTGGGATGAATTGAAATGATCACAGCAGATGAATTGCTGCGATTAGATCTTTGATCTCTTTGTATTTCACTCTGAAAAAGAAGATAGAAAGAAATACAAAGAATTAATTGACTATACCTGTTTTATAACTGTCAGCTGCTACTCAATGTGAGGCAGGGGATTTACATTTCAGAGATATTTGCACGTTCTAGTGCGCAGATGCAATTACTCAGCTAGGGAGGAGAGAGGAGTTGATGTTTCCTCTTTACTGTCCCTCGAGTGGGTGAGGAGGAGGCATGTTTCACTCAACAAGATAAAGCCCTGGGGTTTTGAATCCTAAATGCCGTGGGATACAGTTCATTATAAAACGTCGTCAACAGGGTGTCTTTACTCACAGTGTCTTACAAGGGTCACAGAGAGGTGATGGCATTTACGGCTAACGATTAAAAATTTTGGTCGTTTTACAGCTAATGGTTAATATCTTTCCATTAAAGTCACCAGAAATTATTATTACGGTTAACTTTTTGTCACGACAAACGGTTAAAATTTTGTCAATTCTTACGCCTATTGGCTAAATCTCTTGGCCTTTTTTGCGGCATTTTTATCAGCCCTTTCATTGCCAGAAATGAGGGGTAACCAACATGCAATTTCGTTTTTATGTTAACATGCAATTTCGTAACATACGCAAACGGAAAGGAGATGACAAGAGACAATTCGAAAACGTCAACCATATGGGACACTGATGATTGAACAGCATATTCTCAGAGCTAAAATCATCAGAAAATGCATGGCAGATAGCAAGGAGAATTTACATTTTTGATTTTGGGGTGAAGTTGTTGACTCTATGCGCTCGATAAGGCACAGACCACAGTCTATAGCGATAGTTTATCATGTACAACGCATGCGTATCCAGATGAACGGAGTTCGTCTTGGGCATAGAGAGGTTTTGAAGACGTCGATGGTACTCCTCTAAAGTTTCTTAAGAGCCCCTTCCGGTTGTACTACATGAAAAGATAAAGGTTCTCTAAAAGGATCGATGAAAACTGCGCTCGCAGTGAAGAAGGTCGCTATAAATATTAACAAATATTAGAAAAAAATCACACGCTGCATGTGAGCTTTTTCTACGCAGCTTTAATTAACTTTAAATTGTCCCTTTATTAAATTATCCAGATAGAATTGATCAGTGCAACTTTAATTTGCTCCCAGTTTTGCGGTTTTAAAAATAGGACACATATGTCCTATTAACATCAGCACTAAAGTCTTATCAAAGAAATTTGGCGTTCAATACTCGAGATACGTCAGGTATGCAATTAACAGAACCAGTATTGAATTCTGGCCAGAAATCGAGCGACGAAATGAGACTGCTGTTTCGTGCGACCGTCGAGAGCGATCCGACAAATGGGCGAATCATAAAGTTCAACTGCCTCCTTCGCTTGGCTTCAAGTCATCTCTGACAGAGCTTCTACTCTTACTGAGATTATGAGGCATGATGGTCAGCTGATCACGAGCTTAATCTTAGCGTGAACAACTTGCGAACTTTGAACTTTGATCACTTTCGTGCCGAAATAATTTTTTTCAAACCGCCGCAAAAATTTATAGAAAGGGCTTATCAGGCTACTGCAATTTTTGACCACGAATACGGCCTGAAGAAAAACTCACTTATCAGAAACTTCATCAAAATAAACCAAAATAAGAAATCTCGTGAATTTTTAAAGAACTTAAAGTCCTGTAGCATATCAAAATCAAATGGTAGGTCTGTGGTTCATTGTAAGGGTGGGGCTTTTCACTCAACATACCGACTGTCGCATGGGTTCTCTACGTCACAGAATTCTTCTTCAACGACCCATGCGTAAGTGACTACAAACGATTTCGATAAAATGCCTTCAGGTTAGGCTCAGCCAGCGGGGTTCCCCGCATAAAAATGAAAAAAAATAGGCTTGTGCACTGAACCTGAGCAAACTGGAACTTGTGGACGGAAATAGGAACAGCGCGCACTTGAATGATCAATTTGCATGCAAAGGGAAAATTCACGGTTGAAGAACATTCTACGGCAAGACAGTAAACAAGAGTACGTAAATCACTAAACTAACCATATTGTCGCCTGGAGACGCACATCATATTTTCACCCGACCTTAAAAAATAAAGTAGTCTGGTTGCCCCACTGATAAGCAAGATTTTGTGCTCTCCTGAACATGGAATGAAAGCGCTACAGAGAATATGCATTGTCGAACAGTTTTTCAGCGCGCAGGACGCTAGAGAACCCTCAAAGACAAGCACCTGAAACAATCCACAGGCGTTGCTGTTACATGCTTTAAGCGTACGCACAAATGATATCAGCCTTGGGAACGCCCCCGACCTTTCCTTTCTTAAGCCAAATCCGTTTTCCTGCCCCAAAAGACTTGGATTTCCACCCGGTTTGGATTTTAGATTTGAAAATTGCTGAAGGTAGGTATGGCTATCAAGGAACTCAAGTAAACAAATAATAGGCGTGGAAAGAATGAAAGGTTCATGGTTTTTACTGCGTACCGTGGAAGGGGGCGGGGGGGGGAGGGGAAGGCGGACTGGACCGCTCTCAGTGAGTCGACAAATGCTACAAAAGGTCCCTCTCCAAGAAAAGAGAAAAACGGAAGTCGAGGTGGAAATCAGAAAACGAGAAGAAGAAGGAAAGACCTGAAGATATCTGAGCTTAAGAATTCTCTTTGCACTTTGACTGAAGCGTAAGGTTATGACTTGTGCACTTATAATTCTATTTAAGTATAAATTCAAAAGCTATTGTTGTAACACAAGTAGCTCGTTTTGCAGCGTTCCAAGAGTAGGTTCCGATGGAATGCTTTTGAAGTTCTGCTTTGCTCGCTGAACTCAGTCACGCGTGTTATTTTACAAACGTGCACGGTCAGATCTCATTATAAATTCATATTTCTTAGTGGAATACGTGCTCGCTAAAAATTCAGCTGTTGCAAGATTGCTTAATAGCGGATCTAAATCTTTTATGGACCAAATGTTTTGCCCGTAATAGATCAAGCTAGAAATTCAAACCGGGGGGTTTATCGCGTTGATAAAGACTTTAGTCGAGTTCGGCGGGCGGGGAAATGAAGTAAAAAGATGTTTTGCTGTTCCCGTAGTATTGATTTCCACTTGAAATATTAAAGCCAATATTGTCCACAAGCAAATCGTGACACTTCAATGACGGAAAATGTACCCCCAAAAAATACAGTTGATTAATCTGAGTTTATTCTTCGCTTAATGTTTTAAGACATTTCAACACGATTAATTTTACGCGAGCCAATCTATCGCACGAGATCTGTTCGACATTTAAATATAACATACATGTTCAAGTATTCAAAATGGAATAAGAATGCGTGATTTTTAAGGGCCAAGGAATAGGTAGAAAAAGCAGAAATAAGTTAACGTCCTCTGATTTTGTTTTTGAACTCAAGATATTTGTCTCTGCCAGATAGAAAGATGTAGATGTCAGCTGCACACGTGTATCTACGCTGTTATTTTGCAGCAGACGAAGTGTTAACTCGATATATCGTGAGTTTCTATAGGCCTGTCTGTAAGTGTTATGCAACATTTGACTGTTGTCTTATCAGTCTGTCAATCAAGGTATTGTTACTTGGGATTACGCATGCTCCGTTTTCTGTGTTCTCGAATGACATAATCATATGTCAAAGGTTTAAGTTCAATGCGTTCGATTCTGTGCACTTTCAATGATAGTAGAGCAACATTTCTTTCGGTGTGACAGAGTTTTCTGCACTTTAATTTTCGATTTTCTCACCAAGAGAGCGTACAAGTAGCCGAAATGGACATGGAAGATGTGAGGGGGCCGCGTAAACTGCGGAAACGATCACGAAGTGAGAGTTCCGATGATTCGACCTCCTCAAGTTCGGAAAGATCTAAGCCAGAGAAAACAACGAATGGATTTTGCAATAGTAAGTCGAGCAAGTTGGCCGACGATCCAGCAGTTTATGGGCGAAGAATACCATATTTCGGCGAGAATTCCATCAATGATATATTAAAGGTTGTATCTCTTCAGTCTTTCTCCAATCCTCGGCTGTCGTTGTTGAACGATGGTGAAAGGGAAGTGCAAAAGTTGTCGAGCAGAGCAGAGTCGGACTGCCAGTCTGATTCGTCAAGTGAAGATTTATCCCGTAAAGAGAGATCAAATTCGTTCAGCGAAGATACAGGAGCTTCAGGTGAACATTCGAATAATGGGTTACCTTCGAATAAATCCCGCGGCAGACGAAACGATTTCAAGAATGGTAGCGCGATTTCAGAGGCAATTGGGAAAGATCAAAGATATTGGGAGAAACGGCAGCGAAATAACGCTTCTGCGAAGCGTTCACGAGATGCACGGCGCGTGCGAGAACTCGAGACTCAAATCAGAGCCGAATACCTCGAAGATGAAAACTATCGTCTGAAAGTTGAAAATGAAGTTTTACGAGAGGAGAACACGCGATTACTTAAAACCATCGAGAGGCTAAAACATCACAGCTCCAGCAAAGACTGAATTGAATGATCTAGCCTGTGAAATACTGTATTTTATTTTGCGTGAATAACTTCGAGGGACAGACTCCATGAATTGATTTCAACAGGTTTAAAGTGTATCCTTTCATTTCATCAATGTAGAGATTTAATACCCCCTGAGTACATTGAGGTCTTCCATTATCCATATGTTCAGGTTTGTAAAGGAGTGACGCAACCCACCCGTGTCTTCTTTCCCGCCGTAGTGAATGTATAATTGCCATCGCAGTGATAAACGGCAAATTCTTGATCGAATATTCATGCCCGCGAAATTGTGATCTCGATTTAGTAGCGTCAAAATGTGGCATGTCGCACTCGTTTAGTCTCAATTTTTGAGATACTTTTAGGTGTCGTGGGTTTTCGTGACAAAGGATCTGGAGTGGAGCAAATTTCGTTCATTCGGATACAAACAAAGACCAGTACGTCGCGTGATAAACAAGATTGTGTATTTCAAATCTGTGTCGAGAAAACTGCGAAGCAAAGATTGGTATAAGCTTCTAGAAGCTTCCATTTGAGACAAAGATATTCTTTCGACATAGTAGCAGTTAAAGTAAGTTCTAACTCAGACGACTATCACGTGCCTAAGAAGGCTTTGAGCTGAAGGAGCAAGTGTTAAAGTGTTTACGCACGAGATCGGCAGTTGGAGCAACTCGTCTAGACTTGCATTTTGTCGAAGGAAGGTTTGAAAAGCACGTTCCTTTTTAAAGAACTGTGATGTTTTGCTGAATGACTTCGGAAAGGTATTGAATAAAGAACGTTTTCTGTCGATTGAAATATCTGGCACGTGAAATCTGAGCTTAAAGATGATGCGGAAATTATGTTATTTCGGGTTGAGTTATGAATGTATATTTGTTTCTTGTAATATCGTTACTTTCACTTACTAGGGTATTGAGATCATCAGCAAGGACAGCAAGCTAATGACTATGCGAAGACTTTACCCTGAAATTTTGTAGAGCTGTAGCATTAAAGACCTGTAAATTTTGAGAAAATGTGAGCGAAAGAGACCTCACAGTTGCCCTCGTGTAGACAGAAATATGAAAAAAAAACCTGTTGTGGCTGTATTTGCCCTTTGTATATGTTGATGTGGTTTAGTAATAAGATTGAAACTTTGAACATAGTAAAACAAATATTCAAGTGAAACTCTTGATGTTAAAATTTATAAATATAGTGTGCTGCTAACTGTTGAATACCATTTAACTTCATCTGGTAATCAAATAAATGTTTCTGTAGTCAATCAAGCCATAACAGGCTTATTGGACCTGGCATTTACAGATTTTTTTCCCATGGTGACAGCCATGCAAAGTAGTTTTTGTCAAAGAAGGACAAACTGAAAAACAGTAGCTGCATTTACATAGTATATGCTTTTTGTAGTAGATACGAAAGATATGATCAAATCCTCAACTGTTACATTTGCTTCTGGTATAATAGAATATCAGGTTGAGTCTGAAAGATTCTTTCCTGGTGAAAGGAACTGACTTCACTGCCTCTAACCTTACAGCGTTAGGGGGACAATAAAGAATTGAAATTTCAAAGACATACAGGCAACTTAGATTCTTAAGTTAACATGTAATTTTTAGAAGGGATCTGCTACCTTGTTCACTAAAATGTAAAGTCAACAAAACCCAACATAGCATATGCTGTAGTATTCCAAGTAAAATGGCTATGACTCTTTGTGAGTTTTAGTGCTGACTAACAACAGCAATCTCTGAATTTAAGGGCATGGTTAGGCTATGCCCTTTGTAATTTTGTCTTTTTTAAACAACTTAAGTTGCTAAAAATTGCATAGAATTCCTTTCAAAGTACCTATGAACACTTAAAAACAACCTATATGTAACCATTTGATTTTATATTTCATTTGAATATTGTAACCAGAAACTATCTAATGTAAAATTTAGGAAAGCTCCAAAAGCTATTGTTCACAGAACTTGTTTTTCAAAAGAATACTGAAAAAATGTTGAAATAAAGACAGATGACACTTAGAGTGTTTTCAATTGTTTTCGAGGATAGTTTTTGTTTGGTTCAATTCCTTTGCAAACATTGGCCTGGATAGAAATTTAAAGGGTACTGAATTTCATCTATGTTGTATCAAGAGGAAGGCGATAAAGTATCTTGTAACAGCCCTTCACTAGTCTTGAAAAAAAGTTTTGTGTATTATTATTTTTGTTTTTTGCAAAATATGAGTGCACCTTGAGTTTTTCTCCACCTGCACAAACATCTGGAAGTATAATTTGAGATGTTGCTAAAATTTAAGTTAACCATCTGCATGTGAAATTTTTTACCTCACATTCTGTCTTACACATATATATCTGCCATTGTTCACAGTATAAACACAGTTTTAGCCTTGCCCAGCTCTAATTGGCTGTGAACCTGGGTGTGGCATAACCTTTCAACTTTTGTCTGAAAATTGGTAACTGAGACCTGCTGCTTACTGAGCCTCATCTAATTTAGTGTATTACCGTAATTAGATTGTGCAAAAATGTAACTCTAGTTTCTCAGCAGGCTGAGACTGGTGTTGGTTTTTTTTTGTTTTTTTTTGTTTTTTGCACAGGGCTCAACACTAACGGTAGCCCACTAGCCACAGACTAGTAGAAATTCAGTTTTGGCTAGTGGCTCTTGATTTTCGCAAGCCACTTTGGCTAGTAAACAAACTGAAATTGTCATAACATCTAAGATGTAACCGGCCACTTGGCTAGCAAGTTGAAAAGTTAGTGTCGAGCCCTGTTTGTAGTTGTTGAATTGCCCGTAAGGTGTATCAAAGGTTACTCTAGAAAGATCAGTGTTGTAAAAGCTACCAAGATATATAATGGGGGAACCTTTAATTAAAATGGAAAGAGAAATCACTTTTCTCATAAGAGAGCTTTAATTTGATTTTGTGTCTTTCAGGGTATCAAATGTTAACCTGTGTATAGAAAAACCTTTCAACTTTTGTCTGAAAATTAGTAACTGAGACCCCTTGCTTCCTGAGTGTTATCTAATTTGGCACTTTGCTGTGGTTAGATTGGGCACAAATATAACTCTAGTTTCTCAGCAGGGTGCAATTGTTAGTTTTTTTTTTTTTTTTGCAGTTTAATTGCTCCCAGGGTGTATCATAGGTTACTCTAGAAAGATCAGTGTTTTAAAAGCTACCAAGATAATGGGGTAACCTTTCATTAAAATGGAAAGAGAAATTGCTATTCTCATAACAGCTTCAATTTGATTTTGTGCCACTTAAGGTATCGAATGGAGAACCAACTCTATTAATATTCTAACAAAGAAACAAAGAATTTTGTTGTATCTAGGAACAAGTACATCTCTGCACTTACTTCCCTTGTTCTCTGTTGGCTCCAGTGAAATGTAATCTGCATCATCAAAAAAGTCAAATAATTATCTTTTTCAACAGGAAGTGGGTGGTACATGCAGTAGAACATTTGAATGCCCTACCGGTGATTCTGGAAGTATTCCAGTTTGTGGTAGTGACAGAAGGACCTACAGCAGTCGTTGTACTCTTCAGCTCGCAAAGTGTAATGGCCACAGAGTCAGAATGGCATACAAGGGAAATTGTAAAGGTAAGAATTATTTGGTCTTAAACAGACAGTGGTATCTTTTTGCAGAAATCAGTTCTCAAGTGTTTCATGAACCTCATAACTAACTTTTAAATCACTTATGGCTAGAATGAAATAAATCCTCTTTCATTTTTTTTAAAACACACATTGAAGTTTATGGTGCAATTCTATTGTAGGTACAAGACCACCAGTGCCACGGCGCTCGCACAACCTTGTAGCATCCATGACAACCAAGTGTCTGCAGGAGAGGCAGGAAGCTTTATCAAATGCAAGAGCAAAAGATCTAATTATGCTCGGTGTCTTTGCTCCAAAATGTGAAGCTGATGGCAGCTTCAGTCGAGTGCAGTGCTTAAACTCATCAGGTTACTGTTGGTGCGTAGACAAGGAGGGTAAAGAAATGCCAGGAACCAAAGTTCGCCAATGGACACCAGATTGTCCAACAATTGCATATAGTAAGTGTCTGTTGAAAATAAATTTAAAGCTTTAGTTGAGGGGAACACCTGGAACACCTAAACTGTTCGGTGCAATCTAATGAAAGAACTTGGTGTCCACAATAACCTGGCCACCTAATATTCCATATTTGCCTTCCACTTGTAAACTTGTTGATGTCCTTGAGTTCCCCTTAAAATTACAGTTATTCCATTTATTCATCCTTATCTTCTCAGATAGGGATGAATAAATGGAGGTCCCATCTCCTGCAGGGTTGGGGTAGGAGACGTTAATTTCCCACACACAAGATTACTGTGTGATA